GGTCCATGCCCTCTAGGCGGAAGCTCTGGAGGCCGCGGAAGAACTTGACCGTGGAAGAGGCAGACTGCCGCGTGCCGTTCATCAGAGCGTCGCTCTTCTTCTCGTCGGTCGCCAGGCGGGTGATACCCTTGGCATTGCTGCAGACATCCGCAAGAGCGCCAGCGAAAACGTTGATGGCCTTGATCAGCTCAGCATGTGTCGCGTTGGGGCCGTCGGCGATGAAGTTGTTGAAGGCTGTGGCGAACTCCATGGCGCTGGACGATGCCTTTTCAATCTGCGAGAGCACATAGGACGGCGAAGCGTTCTGGTTTCCGGCCTGCATCGTCGAGTCCAACTCGTACAACGCGTCATCTACTCTCTGTACACCGGATTGCAGCACAGAGTCGATGATATCGTTGATCTTGTCCAGGTTGGCCATGATCAAAGCGTCAATCTGACCGTCAATAACGGTATCAGTATCACCTTGGTTCAACTTCAGCTCATTGAGCTCAATAAGAGTCTGGTCCATGCCAGCCTTGTAGACTTCCAGCTCCTCCTCCTTGTCGCGAAGAAGCTGCTCAAGATCCGAGCTACCATCCCTAAGTTTAGCCTGGGCGTCGTCCAGAGCTCGAGACTTGAGCCGCAATGCCTCCTCGAGATCGGCCATCTCACGATTATACTTGGACAGCATTGTCGAGAGCTCGTTTCCTTTGCTCCTCTCGATGTTTTCGGCACGGTCCAAAGCCATGCGAAGCTCCCGCTTGAGCTTCTCGACCTCGTCCTTGTTGGCGCCATGCAGACGATCCTTGTCGTGGAGAGCGCGGTCCCTCTCTCTGATCATGTCAGCGAGCTCGAGGTTCTTTGTCTTGATCTCGCGCTCGAGCTTCTCACGCCGCTCAATGGCCTCTTGAGCCGAGGCAGCCTTGAGCTGCACGGACTTGAACTTTTGGAGTAGATCCAGGTGCTCATGGCGAAGCTGGGAGTACAGCTTTGCGAGAGCTTCATATTTCGTTCGCCATGTGTTGACCTGCTCCTGTAAAGCCCTGATTTGCTCATCTTTGCTCGTGATTTGCTGGCCGTAGTGCCCCTGTATTTGTGCCAACTCATTCTCCAGACCCTTCACCCTCTGGTCATATTGCTGTAGCATGAGCTGATCACGCTCATACTGGGCTCTCGCATTGAAGTTCTCCTGTTCCAACTCAGCGAGCCGACCCTGGGTCTGATACTGCATTTGTTGCTGCATCAAGGCCTCCTGCTCCCTGCGCTGCTGCTCCGCCAATCTCCGCTGTTGCTCCTCAAAGTCCCTTTGAGCCTGCTCCTGCGCCTGCTGCTGCATCAACATCTGCTGACGTTGTTGTTCCTCAAGAACTCTCTGCTGCTCTTCGTACTCTCGGTTCTGGCGCTCCAGCTCGTTCTTCCAGAATTCGGAAATGTCATCTGGCTCTTGTGATTTCGGTTCAGGGGGTGGAGTGGGTCGTCTCTCAATTTCCTGCTTCGGGCGCGCCGGCAGTGCAGGTGCGTCGTCGTCTTCCGCCAGCAGGTTGGGAGGGTCTTGCGGCAGCTTGGGAATTGTGATCAAGCTGGTCAGGTAACGCAGGTTAGAGCACTCGTAGTAGAATTTGACGAGACGGTAATGTTGGGCATCGTATCTTTCTCGCAGAGGCGAAAGCGCCTCGACGTCGCCGGTGGCTGTGTCCGATTAGCGAAACCACCCTTGTCCGCCAAGGGGTAGGTGGGCCGATGCAACTTACTCGAGTGCATGGCGCGCAGCATGCTTGTGATAAACTTGTAGATACCATAGCTCTCCTGCACGAGGGGTACGAGAGAGGAAATGCGACACTCGTTGTTTCCAACATGGCGGAAGTGCGAGAAGATTAACTTTTGGAACTGTTCAATCTTATCTTGTAGCGTCATCAGGTCTGTGATTGTCTCGTAACCCTCGTTGGGATCGTTGATGGCCTTTAAGCTGAGGTACTCCTCATACTCGAAGGTACCGTTGAACTCGGGATGCTGCTGGTGAAAAGAGAGCTTCGCCAGGAGGTAGTAAACGTATTCTCGGATCAGAGGGCTATATCCTCGCACTCCCTCTCCGCCCATGCCGCGGTTCAAGCTGTCGATCCAGCCTCTCTGCGCCATAGCCTCCCTCAGCGTGTTCGGGTGTCCTTCTTGGAGTACTTTGTGGACCGTAATCAGAGCTTTGAAAGTCTGAACCTCGTCGGCAAGGATGGGTTGGCTGCAATGCGGCGCTGTCAGCGATCGACCCGTCTCCTGACTTATGACGGTGCTCACTTACACCTTCATCCCAGCCCAAAAGGCCTGAGAAGACCGGTGGTCCCATGTGTACACGATGCAACTGCGCACATGTTTCCGCTTCGGCGCCGTCTCGTCGGGGTTCGTGGCTTTCCTGATGTTGATCGCCAACTCCTGGTCGGTCCTTCACAGGGTGTCAGTGCACTGTTGCAAAGGCGGAGAGACAGCCTCGATTGGGCTACATAGTCTCAAGGTGATAGAGGGTGACAGACTTGGTGTGCCTGGTATCGGGCACGGCAGCCATGATGGGCGATTTCTCGTGCGCGGGGTCGTTGGTGTTTGTCGGAGGTGAAGAGCGCTTAATGGGGGTTTCGGATGGTTTGAGGAAATGACGTCTCCCGACAGCTTAAGGAGGAAGCTCCACGTGCACGCAATGCTGCCCAAAAGTCGCACCGAAGCTCAGTGCAAAATCTGGAGGAAGAATTCTCTGAAATTGAAAGTGGGAAAGATATCGTGTGCGACTTCCGTGCCAAGTGGGAGAGGCGGGAACAGTCGTCAGCGTTGACAAAGCTCCCAAGATGTCTAAAGCAAGCTCGAGTGTGGCTGGGTTCTGCAACATGCGCAAGCTCCGGGGATTGCGCCAAGCCGTTGTGGTTGCGATCCTCCGCTCGGTTTAGGTTGGGCACGAAATCTGGAACAATGCTAATCCGGCGGAGGGGGCGGTGTCAGTGTCACCCTCCAGCGTCCCAGCGTCCCAGCGCAGGCAAAGCACCTGAAGCCACAACTCGATGCCTATCTACCTAATCTGATCCAATGACGCTGATGGTGGGGTTCACACGGCCAGAGTTGGCCCCGAGGGGCCCCTGCGCTGTCAATATACGACCGTTGGACGCCAAAGAAAGATCGGACATTGCATGGCTCTCTCAGACAAGTAATGTAAGCAATGGACAACACTACTGGGGCGAAGCAATTAATTGGTAGTTGCATTTCAACTATAAGGGATGGGTCAGAAAATTGAACCTAGAGATACAGTTTTGCTTCTGGAACACAGTCACAGAAGCGCATTTGCACGTATCAGAGCTTAACTAATAAGCTTGTGTCAGTGACCAGGACTCAACGCGAGAACACGAGCTGATGCTCTTGAACGTCTCTTAGGATCAACTGAGTAAGATGCTTAATTATCTTAATTGACTTGATCACACGACAGCCATCGCATGCACATGTTGATGGTGAGTAAGAGGTCTTCATTACATTGACCAGAAAGTGATGGCAAGTGGAGAACCGCAGCTCAAAGCCAATGAGAGAGTTAATCACATATGAAGCTTATGAATGTGCTGACTCCGACGCCGCAATGGAGCATAAGGACATCAATTTACTTTAGAAATGATCATAGGTCGTGTTCTTCATTTGACTTAGGGTATCATGAGGGCCCGGCGGGTAGCAGAGCTAACTATTTGCCTTTCACAGGCATCCCGCATTGACCTTGTTTCCCACGAGCACACAACACCATACACCGGAACCTATGCCATGCCCCCGACCTGACAATGACAGGACCCGAGGCATCGCGGCAGGATCGCAAAAGGGCCAACGGGTCTCACAGGTAGCATTTCCTCGCGCAGGTGTGAACGATGAAGTGTCATTGGTTTTTTTTTTTTCCCATTCCCTATGGACGTTGCCGAAAACGTGATGCCATTCCATGCTAGAATTCTTCCGTTCCTCACGTAAACACCACATGCAAAAGAAGAGCCCACAAACCGCCCAAAAGACACTTTAAATCGTCGTCTCGTAGGGGAGAGGGGTGACCGTCTGGGGCTTGTTCTCCTTGAAGTCGACGGTGCGGGCCTCACGGGGCATGAGGGGGAGGCGCTTGAGGGTGAGGGCCTTGCCCTCGGCCTGGGCCTTCTTCTTCAGGGCGGCGTTCTCCTTAACACGGCGGATGAAGTCGTCTCTCGAACGGGAGGGGGAGATGTGCTCGACGCGGATGTTGATGCGCTTCTCGATGTAGCGGTGCTTCACCTTCTTGTAGATGATGATACCGACGGCGGACTTGGTGACGTTGTAGATGACACCGGTCTTGCCGTGGTAGACCTTGTGAGGCATACTGTAATCCGACAAGTCAGCCCTCTGTTCTCGCTTGCATTCCGCCCGTCATCGCAGTTCCTCCCAAGAGACCCGAGTCTCATCGTCGCAATCCGGATTCGAGGGTGGGTTGTTCGCTTACCCCTTCTGGACGGCACCGTTGGTCTTGATGTCGACAATGTCTCCGACTCTGTACTGGCGAAGGTACGTGGAGAGCTTGATCATACCCTTCTCACGGAAGTTTCTGCTGAACGCATACTGCAAACCAACCGTCAGCAATCCGGCCGCAATCTCGAGATAATTCGTAGCCGGGTAATACGTACGCGCGTTCCCGCGCGAAGACCCGCTGGGTGACCCATTTTGCCGGAGTGGTTGTCGTAGAGGGCGGAATTTGGTGATGGTGTTGTCGGGTCTTGAAAAAGATCACGAAATTCCAGACACAACAGGCAAGGCAAAAAATCGGCGACGTGTGTGTGCTCTGCTGACTCAGTCCCGTAATTCTTTTTCGTTGTGGAAAGGGCACTACACGTGACCATAGGCGAATGGGACCCGCAATTTGATAGGCGCTAGTCAGCCCTCCCTCCCCACAGCCATTTTTCGCATTGAGTGTTGCAACTTTCGTGAGAAGCTCTTTTTTTCCTTTTCGATTTCTTCGTCAACCATAATTCGAAGGATATCGACGAGTCGGCAAGATGGCGCCGTAAGTAGACTGATCGCCAGTCGCATCGCGAAGCAAACATGCTAATTCGACTTTGCGCAACAGTCTCACCTACTCCAAGACCTCCAAGGTCCCCAACCGTCCCTTCGAGGCTGCCCGTCTGTCAGTATTCTCCGGCCACTGAACAAGAGCTTGCTCTGTTTAAGTCGTGAATCACACCACTGACTTCGATACGATGATAGTGACTCTGAGCTGAAGCTCGTTGGCGAGTACGGTCTCCGCAACAAGCGTGAGGTCTGGCGTGTCCAGCTTACCCTCTCCAAGATTCGTCGTGCTGCCCGGTATGTTGGGCGATCGCAAAGCCATCACCCACCTCAGTGATCGCATGGGCATCTTTTGGCTAACAACCCATCGCAGTCAGCTTTTGACCCTCGACGAGAAGGACCCCAAGCGTCTCTTTGAAGGCAATGCCCTCATTCGCCGTCTCGTGCGCGTCGGTGTCCTCGACGAGTCCCGCATGAAGCTCGATTACGTCCTGGCCCTGAAGGTCGAGGATTTCCTTGAGCGCCGCCTCCAGACTTGCGTCTACAAGCTCGGTCTCGCCAAGTCCATCCACCACGCCCGTGTCCTCATCCGCCAGAGACACATCCGCGTCGGCAAGCAGATCGTCAACGTCCCCTCCTTCATCGTCCGTCTCGACTCTCAGAAGCACATCGACTTCGCCCTCACTTCGCCCTTCGGTGGTGGCCGCCCCGGCCGTGTCCGCAGAAAGAAGGCTGCTGCCGCCGAGTCCAAGGGTGACGGTGGTGACGACGAGGAGGATGACGAGTAAATGCGTCGCCATTTATGCTAAGGATTGGTCACAAAAACTCTGGGAATGGCTGGCAAACCAAAAACCAACCATCGGGATTATCGGGGTGTTTATAGTCACGGCGTTCGCCAGAGGCAAAATGGAATGATTGCATCAAATACGGATACCACGAATGAATGTTACACAAAAGTCTTTCTTGTTCAGTTCAGGGCAAATCAAGGCACCGTCTTGCATGCGAACTTTTGACAGGGAAATGGGTATCATGTTTGTCCAATGCAATGCTCATAGGCCATGCCTAATTACCTAGGTAGTCTAGACCAATTCATCCTTGCCCAGGAACTTGGCCATCGGGTCGTTCGCCGCTGTCCTCTTTCTCCTGTACTCCTCCATCTCTGCCTCCGTGACGCCCCCCATCATTTCCTCCGCTGTCCGTTTCGTCGCCGGTTTGTTCACCGGGGTGTCGTCCGCCTTTGGAATCCCTGGCTGCTCCATCTGCTGCGCCAAAGAAGCACCCATGCGCTGCCGCTCTGAAGCTTCCCAGGCCAACTTGCCCTCCTCGCCCGTGCAATAACTATTTTTGACCACAGAGTGACAGCATTCGTAGCCCCATTGAAAATTCGACCACCAACTGCCCCAGATGGATGTATGGTTGTGGATGTAGACGTCCTCGGGGTATTTTGACTTGGCGATAACCTTTGGCGCGCCCTTGATGAGACCGCTTTCATCGTACTCGACGTATTTCTCCGACTCGGTGATGACGTTCTTCAGCTCGTCGGGCATGGTGTATTGCGAATTGTCGCCGTACAGCTCCTTGAGCTTCTTCTCCCGCTCTACGCGCTTCTTCTCGGCCTCTTCCTTTTCCTTCTTCCTGTAAAACTCTCCGGCCGTGGGGTTTGCTTGCAAGTGTTTCGTCGTGTCACCACTCTTCTCCTGGGCCTCCCAGGCGTATCGCTGCGCTTGCTCAAATTCGCCGGCATCGCCCGAGCCGCGCATAAAGCCTTCCTCAGCAAAAAGATTCGCAGCCTTGTCCACGGTTGCGCCGCCGTCCACGAGGGATCTCGTCTTTGGATCGTACTTGGCAGATTCCAGGTCGAGGTTGACTAGGTACTTGGCCGTGTCCTCTCGTATTCGCAGCTGGCGCGTGGCTGTGCTTTGATGCTTGCTCATGTCGTTCTCCTCGGCGTACTTGTCGCCATCGTCTTGTTCCTCCTCCTCCGTCTCACCCTTGGCCAGCGCCTGTTTCCTCAGCTTCTCCATCTCGTTGAACTCCTCGACAACGTTGCGATACTCCTTGGGGTCGTATCCGTTCCAGCGATCACGCTTGGCGTCCCAGCCAAGCTTGACGTCCTGAACAACCTCGTCCGCCTGGATGTCCCGGCCGGTCCACTTGGCACCCTTTGCTCTCGGCCGGCTCAGGCAATCTTTGGCTTTATGCGTCATGGCGCCGCAGTTTTCGCATGCGCCTTTTCGGTACTTTGTGGCCGCCGGACCGGCCTTTCGACCGCGGTCATACCATTGTGACTGCTCGTTCTTCTTCTGAATGCGCTGATGCTCGAGGTAGTCGGTCTGATCATCGCCTTCTTCGCCAGCATAGAAGGGCCGTTTACTAATGAAAGACGGAATATATATATTCTCTTCCTTTGCGGCGGCGGACGCCTTGGGATCGGGCTTTCTCGGGGGTGGCGGCGGTGGCATCCTGGCGGTTTTTCGGGATCTGAATAAGGTGTTGCGAAATGAAGTCCGGGCGGCGCATTTTCGTCGCGAATTTGGGTATAGAAAAGCACAGGTGCTGGTTATGCATTATGTAATCAACCATATCCAGACCTGGAAGAAAGCCAAGAGACCTACATTTGCGGCTTGAGTTGTCATGTCTCCCTTATGCATGCTTTCAATGCTTTCAATATCTTTCGGATTACTTATATCGCTTCATACAACATCCAACCTTTTTCACACATCTTCCAGCAAGGTTAATGCCTAGCAGACAATGGCACATACTAAGGTACTAAGGTACTGTTGAGCAGAAAACGCCCCATAATTAGTGGGCATCGTGGCACTGCGGCGCGAGGTCCGTCAAATCACGCGTGTTGTCACATGACTGCGCGGACCCTGGGCGTAGATCCTGGGCCTGGCACGCGTCGGGTCTTGCATCAACATGACCTTGTCGCGTCGTAGAATACGCTTCTTGGTGTGTTTAGCCCGTCTTGCCATGCACCAAACCGACTACTTCCCTTTCTTATCATGAAATTGGTTTCCCTTCCACCATCTGATCCTCCATGAGTGTTCTAAGCCTCCAACATGGACCTCTTCCGCGTCAGGTTGAATTGCATAGACCACTACCAGGCAACACCGACGCACTACGATCCACAATTACGGAATGATGTCGGCCCTGCACAGGCAAAGAAAGGGCCCAAGGTCCCCGTAGTGAGGGTTTTCGGTTCGACGGAAACGGGTCAGAAAGTCTGCGCTCATATTCACGGCGCCTTCCCATACGTCTATGTTGAGTATCACGGCAGCTTAGAGCCCGAAGATGGTGAGTACGTCCTCCAACCACTTCAGGACCCTCGCTAACCACCTGAAGTGGGCGCATACATCTATCGACTTCATCTTTCTATTGATCATGCCTTGGCGGTCAGCTACCGGCGTGATCAATTTGGAGAAAATGCGAAATTCGTCGCCCGCATTACCCTAGTCAAAGGTGTGCCGTTCTACGGCTTTCATGTGGGATACTGTTTCTTCCTCAAGATCTACATGTTCAATCCCATCGTAATGACCAGGCTGTCCGATTTGCTTCAGCAGGGTGTCATTCTCAAACAGAAATTTCAGCCCTACGAAGCTCATCTCCAATATTTGTTGCAGTTCATGACCGACTATAACCTTTACGGGTGTGGCTACTTGGATGCGTCTGATGTCCACTTCAGAGGCCCGATACCATCTTTTGAGAAGGATGGAAATTCCCAGCACCTCTGGAATGACCGGACGATTCCTCGGGCTCGAGTCCTCGATGACCTGAGTCTGCCCAGGGTCAGCCACTGCTCCATCGAGGTAGACATTTGCGTCCAACACATCACCAATCGGCGAATGGTGAAGGAGCGCCGGCTGCATCACGACTTTGTGGAACGTCTGAAGCCTCTTCCAGCAGACGTTAAGCTCGTTTACAGTATGGCTGGCTTATGGAAAGATGAGACTCGTCGCCGCAAGATGAAAATGCCCAACGCGGATCCAGGAAGCAGCCCTTTTCCGGCAGAAGTCTTGGTCTCAATGTCTGCAAGTAAGCGCGACTCTCAACCGCAAGGATGGATACACGAGGAAGAGTACAAGGAAGAAGTCGCCAAACTCATCGAAACCGAAAAGGGTTCGGAAGATTCTGCGACGCCGAGCTTTGAGACCTTTGTAGAACATTCGCCACTTGAAGCGGCCGTAAATACCGCGCTCCAGTCGGTAGAAGATTTATATCCCGTCAACCTTTTGCCTGCTCTCGGATTGCCGTCGAACCATGTACCGGCAAACAAGAATCCAGCCAGCAGCATTGAGGTTGACGAACAAGGCGTCCTCGATCTGGGCGTTGATGATTACGACCCTTATCCAGCCGACTCCGACGAAGAGGCTCTCATTGAGATGAGCGAGCCAAAGACGAGGCAGGATGGCCAAACCAAGGACACTGGCAATGATGGCAAGGAGGGACCGAACAGAGGTAAAGCCGTATCTACCAGCAGCGGTATGCCAGTCAAAAAGACAGTCAATGGGCTAGGATCCGATGTGTTCCTCCATGAATACGAAGGCGTCTGTGCCAGCAGATTGAAGACTGGAAACCCACCAATGGTGCCGGTTTGGGACGATTTGCTCGATATGGCCGAAGAGGAAGGGCTCGTGTCCAAACTCCCAGAGACTTCGGGCCCGCGTCACCGTCGTACAGAATCAGTAAAGCGATCCATGTCTCCGCACGCGACAGCATCTTCTACCAAACGTCCGAGATTCGAGCCTCCAGTCACTCCGGCGTCTAAAGCGTTGATGCCCAAATCATCGCTCAAAGGCATCCTGAGTAATGGCACAGCTTCTGAGAAGCATCAGGTCACGATGTTGCCGACAAATTCTCAAGAAAACCCCCGACCATCACAAATTACAGGCTCGAGATCTGTGGTCAATCATTTATTGGCTTTTCCAGTGGTCAAAAGCCAGGAGGACCCAGGCACGAAACTTCGATTGAGCCAGATGAGCCAGCCCGGAGCTTCGCAACAAGCCGAAAGGCACCCCCAAAAGCATGTTTCATTCAGTGTAGCCCCGGAAACGACTCGAAGCAAGCCCGATCCGATTACTCCTGCAAAGAAGGTCCGAATCGCGACTCCTTCGACGGATTCGCCAGGGACCGAAGCAGGGACAGAAAAAATACTAAACCGTATCCAGAAAGCGATCGGATCCTTTTCCACAAAGCGCCAGTGTGTGATTGGCGTCCTGCCTCCCGCTCCAACACTTATCACGGCGACAATGAAGGACTTGCAAATTCCCGATATGATCTACCAAGATGCATACTATAGCGAAGAAAAGGATGTCCCGGTGCGTCCCAGGGAGTATGCTGGCCGGGAATTCCGGCTCGAGAGCAACACTTTACCGTACCTAGCGGACTTTGATCCATCCGGGACATCTGCCGCTAGCATGGGCATCAAATCAGATACACCCATCGACAAGACCAAGAATGACGTGCGTTATGACGCCCAAGCAAGTTTGTGTTCTTACCGAAGTTGGGAGATAGCTGAGCCGCCGCCGAGCGCCAAAGAAGTTCAGGATTGGTGGAATAAGAAGCACCCAGTACAGAAAAAGAAAACAAATATGGCTGCAAAAATCACAGGCACCCCTCAACCCACGAGACGCGACCTGTCCCAGATTGACGGGCCCACCCCAAAGAATAAACATGGCTTCAAGTACTTGCCCAAGAAAAAGTCGACAAGTGTCAAGCACGAGGCGCAATACATGAGTACCATGGCCCTGGAGATTCACGTCAACACGAGGGGCAAGTTTGTTCCCAATCCTGACGAAGATGAGGTACAGTGCATATTCTGGTCTATTAAAGCAGATGGCACCGCCAGCAGCAGTCAGGAAGCTTCAGGGGGGATTATTGCTGGCGTCGTTGTCTCGTCGCCAGACGGATCGCTCGCTCAGAGGATGCGGCGGTATGTTTCCGCAGAGGTTGTTGAGGAATCGTCCGAGCTCGACGTCATGGTTCGCATGGTGCAAATTGTCAGAGACCACGATCCTGATGTCCTGACAGGATATGAAGTCCACGGCAGCTCATGGGGCTATCTAATCGAAAGAGCCCGTGTAAAATATGACTACGACCTGTGCGATGAGTTTTCACGTATGAAGAGTAACTCTCATGGCCGCATCGGGAAGGAAAACGATCGATGGGGTTTCAACACGACGTCGACGATCCGCGTGACTGGCAGACACATGATCAACATATGGCGAGCCATGAGGGGAGAATTGAATCTGCTTCAATATACGATGGAGAACGTTGTTTGGCACGTTCTGCACCGCCGCATACCTCACTATTCCTGGAGAACCCTGACAGAGTGGTACAGCAGCAGCAGACAGAGGGATCTCGACAAGCTGACGCGGTATTACTTTACGCGAACGAGAATCGACATTCAGATCCTGGAGTCCAACGAGCTCATCCCTAGAACCAGTGAGCAGGCCAGGCTGTTGGGGGTGGACTTCTTCTCGGTCTTTTCACGTGGATCTCAGTTCAAGGTTGAGTCCATCATGTTCAGAATCGCGAAACCCGAGAACTTCATGCTAGTCTCCCCTAGTCGGAAGCAAGTCGGCGGTCAAAACGCACTCGAATGTCTCCCCTTAGTGATGGAGCCTCAAAGCGACTTTTACAACAGCCCGCTACTGGTACTCGATTTCCAGAGTCTGTACCCCAGTGTCATGATTGCCTATAACTTGTGCTATTCGACATTCCTCGGCAGGATTGTCAACTGGAGGGGGATGAACAAGATGGGCTTCACTGAGTACCAGAGGCACAAGAGGCTACTGGAGCTCCTCAAGGACCACATTAACATCACGCCCAACGGTATGATGTATGTCCGGCCTGAGATTCGGAAATCTCTCCTCGCAAAGATGCTTGGCGAAATCCTGGAGACCCGAGTCATGGTCAAGAGCGGGATGAAGCAAGACAAGGACGACAAAACGCTGCAGGCGCTTCTCAACAACAGGCAGTTGGCACTGAAGCTTCTGGCCAATGTTACCTACGGCTACACGTCGGCATCTTTCTCCGGCCGTATGCCTTGCTCGGAGATCGCCGACAGCATAGTTCAGACAGGCCGAGAGACGCTTGAGCGAGCGATTGCGTTTATTCATTCACAGGAGCAATGGGGAGCGGAGGTAGTCTACGGCGACACGGACAGTTTATTCGTGTACCTCAAGGGCCGAACCAAGGATCAGGCTTTCGACATTGGCAATGAAATTGCCAAGGCCATTACCGACATGAACCCCCGACCGATCAAGCTCAAGTTTGAAAAGGTCTACCACCCGTGTGTTCTCCTGGCGAAGAAGCGATACGTCGGCTACAAGTACGAGAGCAAGGACCAGGTCAAACCCGAATTCGACGCCAAAGGCATTGAGACGGTGAGGCGGGATGGCACGCCGGCAGAGCAGAAGATTGAAGAGAAGGCCCTCAAGCTCCTCTTCGAGACGGCGAACCTCAGCGAGGTCAAGGCCTACTTCCAGAAGCAGTGCGAGAAGATCATGCGCGGATCCGTCTCGGTGCAGGACTTTTGCTACGCGAGGGAGGTGAAGCTCGGCACATACAGCGACAAGGGCCCGCCGCCGCCGGGCGCGCTCATTAGCACCAAGAAGATGCTCGAAGACGCGCGCGCCGAGCCGCAGTACGGAGAACGGGTTCCATATGTCGTTATCACGGGGGCTCCGGGGGCGCGGCTAATTGACCGGTGCGTGGCGCCGGAGGATCTCCTCAACGACTCGCACTCGCAGCTGGACGCGGAGTACTACATTTCCAAGAACCTCATCCCGCCTCTGGAGAGGATCTTCAACCTGGTGGGCGCCAACGTGCGGCAGTGGTACGACGAGATGCCCAAGGTGCAGCGGATTCGGCGGGTGGATCAGACGCTCGGGGCGGCGGGTGGGCTCGGCAGCAACAAGACGCTGGAATCATACCTCAAGTCCGCGTCTTGTATCTCGTGCAATGTCAAGATGCAGGTGGAGGGCGTGCTGTGCGAGAAGTGCCAGCAGGACGCGCCGCGTTCGCTGTTTAGCCTGCAGACGCGGTTGAAGGACGAGGAGAGGAAGTATATGGACGTGGTGAGGATCTGCCGGAGCTGTTCAGCGCTGCCGGCGGCAGACGAGGTGCCGTGCGACAGCAAGGACTGTCCCGTGTTTTACTCGCGTGTGAAGCAGGGCGCGCGGCTGAAGATGGAGAAGAGCGCGCTGGAGCCCGTTATTCGGGAGCTGGTCGCGAAGGCGGGAAGGGCCGCGTTGGAGTGGTGATTTTTTGTGAATGTACACTGTACTTTTACGTGGGTGGTTATTGTCATTTTGGGTGTTTGGCTGGACAGTAAGTTACCTTGGATAAGGTCGGTCATCGGTCTAAAGATGGTTGGGCGGGTATAGCGCAACGGCCCTCTCCATGATAAATTGGTTGATAAGGAAGTTATGATGTCACGGCAAGGCCAGACCACTGTTTTGAGTAAGGTGGATGGATGGGATTGGTCGCTTGAGTTGGCTTGACGGACGCGACTCCGTCCGATTTGGCGTACATTACGGAGTAGACAGCACACTTATCAGACGCATGCTCTGAGGTAGAGATGGCGGTTTACTTAATGATGACAAGGTGAGCACATGAAAGGCGATCCAACAGCCAAACTGCCACACTGCTCCAGTGCTGAGTACTATTGGTTAGGTAGTGACCTCACCGTTCGCCAGGGTCCCCTCTCCTCATCCCGCGGGGTAAAGGTAGTTTACTTGTGCCTAGGAATGAATTGCAGGCATGCTCGTTACCGAATCGACCCGGCGGCTCTTGGGTTAGATAGGGGCCGGAGTCCACAGGGCAGAGGGCAGGCCCCAGGGCGGTTGCAGAGGGAGGGAACAGCTGTCTGCGGGTCACTCGGAACTCTCGACGGGTCGCCGCTTCACTTTCACCCCCCAAGCTCGGGCAATCTCGAAGGCTAACCGTAAGGAAGGCCACTTCATACCTTCTCTTATGTAGCTTCTAAGGTAGGTTGCGTAGTTGCCTTGGACCCCGCCGAGCTCTCTAGACGCCCTGAACCATCTCTCCTGTCTAGTACTGGGTCTGCTGAGTGGTGCTTGCTGCCCATCCGTCCCATCCATACGCCTGTTGCGGCCAGCTGTCATAAGGGCAAAGCTACCGTCACATGACGGCGTCAGAGCGAACTATTGGACGTCCCCAAGGTTCAAAGTGACTTGCATCTCTCCATTGTCTTACTTGATGCAAACGCCGGTGGCCAACGCCCAAATCCACGAGCTCTTTTGCCCACATCACTCTCTATTGTCCACCAAAAAGAAAAAAAAAAGTTGCCAAACAGCTGAGCCGCCAAACAGCACCAACCTTCGTTTGCTTACCATCCTGAAACAAAGAGCTTCCATCTCTCTACACCAACACCATAACCACCACCACGGCCGCCGCCACAAGCTCCCCATCCGATACAACCCCCCCGCCCGACCTCTTCGACTCGTAAACGACCTAAGCGCCGATGCTCCTGCCTATTTCTCTCCGCCTGCTGTCCTTCCGTTAGCAGCACTGCGACAAGTGCCGCGCGAAGATTGAGTATCAGACAATAGTGCGAGAGGAAGCAGAGCAGCAAAGCTCCGGGAACCGCGATGGGGGGTTGGACCGGCTTCCTCATAACCTACCTCCTGGGAGGCCTGACCTTCTTACCCTTAGTGATCCTCACCGTTCTCGCCCACGCCTATTTCACCCTTCCCTACCGACAGGATGTCGACACGAGTCGCGACGCTTCCGTCGACGTCGCCGCCGCCGGTGGTCCGGACTCAATCGTCCAGCCCGGCGACGATCTCACCGCTCTCGAGGCCGTGAAGGCCACCGCGAAGGACGATGCCACCGCGGCGGCGACGAAGCGCTCGGCGCAGGACAATGACGTCGCGGCGGGGTACTTCGCTGTGTGTAGAGAGTACACCCCCATGGGCATCAACGCGAAGCCCATCGAGAGGTCCACCCCGACCGGCTCAACCACCGTCGCCGCGCCGAGCCAGAGCGTCTATCAGACCATGTACAGGAGCATTTTCGAGCGGAAGCCGACACCGGGGCCCTTGGACAACAGGAACGGGCTGAGCCAGCGTCCCAAAAACGCTGGCAATGTGTTTTATGTCGTGTTGAGGTTTGCGCCCCCATGCAATCAGCCTGCCACCCCTCGTCGACTCCGGAGACTAACATACTGCAGGCACGGGCATCTGATGCTCTTTGATGACGATGAACAAATCGAGGTCCGGCACGTAGTCTCGTTGTTGCACCACGACATTAGTATATACTCGGGGGGAGACGTCACGCCGGAAGGCGAGCTCTACATCAAAAGGAACGCGTTGTGTTTGTCACGTAGGTCAGATGGGCCAGAAGTCGGACCGGACAGCCAGCTCTCCAAACCCTTTTACCTCTTCTCGGAGAACTGTTCCGCCAAGGAGGACTTCTACTTCGCTATGCTCCGTAACCAGGAGCAGAACTTTGGCGCCGAGAGAAAGGCACCCAGGCCGAAGCAGTTTGAGGTCAAGAACATAATTGCGTTGGTCCAGAAGCTGCACTCCTCCGAGGAGCACCTGTCCACGAGGTGGTTGAATGCCATGATTGGCCGAGTGTTTCTGGGCATTTACAGGACGACGGATCTCGAAAATTTAATCCGTGAGAAGCTCACCAAGAAGATTGCGCGTGTCAAGCGGCCTTCATTTCTCACCAACATTGCCATTCGCCGCATCGATACCGGCGAGTCTGCGCCCATAATCACGAACCCGCGCCACAAGGATCTGAATGTTGAGGGAGAATGCGTGATGGAGGCCGATGTGCGATATACGGGCAATTTCCGAATGGAGGTGGCCGCGACAGCCCGAATAGACTTGGGCGCACGCTTCAAAGTCCGCGAGGTCGACCTCGTTCTTGCAGTGGTCATCAAGAAGCTCGAGGGCCACATGCTTTTCAAGATCAAGCCCCCGCCGAGTAACAGAATATGGCTTTCATTCCACAGCATGCCAAAGATTGAGATGACAATCGAGCCGATTGTGAGCGCGAGGCAGATTACATACACCATTATTTTGCGGCAGATTGAGAATCGTATCAAGGAGGTCGTCGCCGAGACCCTGGTGCAGCCATTCTGGGACGACATGCCCTTTTTCAACACGGAACACAAGAGATGGCGGGGCGGGATCTGGGATGACGACGATGCCGTTGTCAGCTCACCCAGCGTGGAGACTAACGTTGCCGGGGAGGGTGACGTGGAGGGGGTCGACCACCTTGACGAGACGGTTGACTTGCAAAGCGACATGAGACCGTTCGAAAAGAGCCACAGCATGCCAATCGTTGAGAATACACAAGCAACCGGATTGTTCGGGAGGAAGATACAAAACAAAGGGCCGATCAGTCCCTTAAATAGTTCTTCTACAAGCGTCGACGTCGCAAGCTCGCCTACTACCGCGACGCCGATACCTAAACCGTTCAGGTCGCCGTCAATATCCATTCCTGTGGTCGGTACCGACGCGGCGCACGCGGACGTTTTCAAGCCTTCTTCTTCACCACCGGATCACGCTTCCAGCATGATGGCAGCGTTGTCAGCAAGGTCCACACCAGTGACAACGCCCTCCGAGACCCCAGCCAGACCACCACCCGTCGCAAAAGCACCAAGCCAGTCTTCCGCATCCTCGCGCGAAGCCACGGATAATGAGAACGAGACGAAACGCAGGCCGATGGCCAAGGAACGCCGCAGCACAGCTTCATCTGCGGAGTCGATACGCATCAACGAATCGACCGACCCAAACTCACCTACCTCATCTTCAAGAGCCTCCGTCAGAAGCGCCACGGGTTCCGTCTCTAAGGGCTTGTTTCGAAGGGAGAACACGGGCAGCACGAACTCGACCGCGTCGACAAACGGCGAGGGGAAGCGCACGACTCTCGCCGCCGTCGCCAACGCCGCGGTCACGGCCAGGCAGTGGGGATGGAACGCGATACAGAAGCACAAGGACGCCAAGAACGGCGCCTCAGCGGAGCAGAATCCCCCGCTGGATCTCAACCAGCCGATGGGCAGAGGTCGGCCCCTCCCGCCACCGGGCACGCCGCTCCCCCCGCCCGAGAGAGGGTCTAAAGTGACGACGATCACCATGCCAAAGCGCAAACCCATCGCGCCGCCGAATCTCCCAGAACGGCCTCACTCGGCCGCGGCGTCCGAGGGGAAATTGGAGCGCAGGCCCGTACCGCCTCCGCCCCTACCCTCGCGGCGCCATCTGGACACGAGCAAGAATACGGACGGCGGCGGAGAGAGTTTGTTGGTTGTGGAAGCGCCTCTCGACTCGGAGCCCTCGACGCCGATGGAGGAGAGTATGCCTCTGCCGGCGTACGTTCAGCCTTGGGCGGAGGACGCTTCCGATGGCGAAGGGGCTCCGGAGAGGGGTCGTGATCGCAGGATTGATGAGAGGAAGGAACATGAGAATGAAGAAGAGGAGAGCAAGAGTAGGACGCCGCCGCCGTTACCGCAGCGTCGAGGGACGAATCTTGATGATCCCATTATCGCGAAACCGGTGAATGTCTCTGGGGCCGATGGCGACGACGACGATTACTCCGCATGGATGGATGAGCAGGATGAGGGTGTCGTCGGTGTGGACGGGAGGTCGAGCGTCGAGGTGAAGTAATGAACTGGTAGAGTGTTGAGTGGTTTCATTGGCCTTTTTTTTTTTTTTTTTGCTGGAGTTGGGCATCATGACATGACCTAGGCTTGGGATGGGATGGGATGGTATGGGATGGGAAGGGACAGGGAACTAGTTCGGGCGGATCAAAGGAGTTTGAAACATTTTTGCTGTAGGATACCAGACTCTGATCCATATACATACACACATATATATACATACGAATATATGCACCCTCGTTTTCCTTAGTACTTGTATAGGTGAGTGGGATTTCATGGTCTTGTCTGTTCTGTTGCATTGATATTCCCTCTCTCGCCTCTGCGCTTTTCGGCTTTGCTGATGATAGTCATAGGTCATAGTCCACCTCTTCCTCTCAGTACATGGGATTCAGCAGAGACGAGGGATACCGTAGAATGGAGGGCATATAACACAGAAATGGCTACAGGTCGTAGATACAGATGGGATGGAGATGGGTAATCCAGACACAGTCTCTCTGATTGCCCAACAGTGCGCCTCGTTCTCGGTTCTCAAGATCTTGAATCCTGATATTTATCTTGATCCAGGTTCTGATTCGAGTTTCGAAGAAGGGGGCAATCGTAACGGTCTTGTGCTCCTGAAAAGCCAACCCTTGAAGTCAATGAGTCCTAAAACAGGCGAGTGATACCGGCTGAAACTCTGATACGAACAATGGTAATATCCGGATGTGCCGCAGGAGATTACGCTCTGAGCAGACGACCAAAATCGCCGCAAAAAGAAAATTGAATAAAAACAATCCTAAAACCCCCCTACCCTCGCCTATTGCCAGAGGAGGCGTTCGCATGAGTTATCATGTACCGCACATCAATCATGTACAAATCACCATCATCAAGACAGGGCAGTTGGTGGCATCAAGAGTCAGGGCAAGAGGCAATTTCAAGTACTACGTCTACAATAGTCCCCAAAAAAGACTTCCTTCCTCATTCCTCAAAGAGAGTCCAAGACTCGGCTCGGTTCGTAGAGCTCGGTCGATAGGACGCCCCTGAAAAAGGAAAAAAAAAAAAAAAAACTAATGAACATGGTAAAAAAAAACTTTGACTTCCCAAAAGAGAACAAAGCCGGAAGAAAAGTGTACATAAGAAAAGTCGGGTGTAGTGGTTGTTTTTTTTTGGTGGCTGGTTTCCATTTCGGGTGCTTATGTGCCGCGGCCAATCTAGTCTTTGGTTGCGCATTATAATGAGCAACAATAGAGAGAAGAGGAACAAGAAGCAGACTGGACTCCAATTACAACTGGTAGTACACATTTGCCATTGTTTCTCCCCTTCCCAGGCCTTTCCCAGGGCCCCCTATTCTTAATTTCCTTCCCAAATTCGCCGGTGCCATGAAGAAAACTCGGAGTCAGTAATTAAAACCATGACAAGGTCGCTCCCGGCAAAAACAGCGAAAGCAAAAAAGTCGGACAGGACAAAGCATGAAAAGCAACCATCCGGAGGTATTCGGATCTAGGCTGGCAGCAGTAGTCAGGCAAGGTGTTTGATAATCGAGACAGGCCGAGATAGGCAGGACGCGTTTAATGAAAAGTGGTCGTAGGACGCCAAGGTCCTGGATGCAGTCGTAAGCTAGATTAGGTCGAAACCAAAAGGAGAATGGGGCCTAAGCTCTTGCGGGACGCAGGGCATCCTAGGCAAAGACGACAAGGAGATGGTTGTCATAGACGTCGTGATCCGTTGCGTGAGAGCGAATTGATCATGAGTGGGGAGGGTGTTCCCACGGGGCGGGCCAGTTTCTTGGCGTAGCGAGCGGATTTGAAGAATGCTTCATTGGTTTGTTTATATTACTGTAGACTGCTCAACAGCCGCATGTAGACAAATGTCCATCGGCATATTGGCCACGACTTTATGATCGCGCCCTCACGGTGCTCATGGGTGTGGCAGACGTAGAGGGTCCAGATTGGGAGTGGGAGTGAGAGTGAGAATGGGCGCCAGACGGCCGACCCCTCTTAGGGTGGTGGTGAAGAGTACCAACATCGTGCTTGCCTGGTCATTGTCAGCCACAGAATTCACTTCGATACACGTGTAAAGGTTACTCACCATCGCAGCAGGCGCGCACGTTCTCGAGCCGGTCAGCATCCCGGTCTTGTCTCTCGATAATCTCTCGGAGGTCTTCGGCGCTGTCGTGCACCTCGCTAGCCTCGTAAATGCTTGAGCTCGGGGCCGCTGCGGAGCGGCTTCTCAGACTCGAAAAGGTGCCAAAGTAGCCACTAATCCTACCCGCCATGGTGGGTCTCTGAGCCTGAGCAATCTGGTGCTTATTCGGTGTAAGCGTAGGCACGTTCATCGACATGTCGACTGCCGGAGACTGGTTGCGAGTCGTCCGTGAGTTGTATGATGACAGAGATGGAGGCGGCCGCTGACGAGCTGTGGAATTGGTGCGACGGCCAAACTGGGGGTTGAACTCATCCACGTCGGCCTGGGTGATGGCACCGGCCATCTCCTCGACATCGGACTGGCCCTCATCAGTTGTGCGAAGCAGGAGATACGACAAGGCGTTGAACCACGTCTCGTGGCGCTGGCCAGTCGTGCAGGTGAACTTGATAGTCCTACCAGGGGAGATAACGATCAAGCTCTTGCGATGGAGACCGGGTGGCATTGGGTTGTCGTCGGTCACCACACGAACGGCCTCGATTGGCACACTCTTTCCGCGAAGCTCAGAGCGGCCAGCAGTGGCCGGGTCACGGTCACTCCAGTACAAGGTCCGAGTATACGGATGGACCCAGAAATAGCGTCTGTGTCTGTAGTCGGAGATTTCTCCCCTGCCGGCCTTGCGTGTGTACTTCCACAGGTATTCGCCAATCATGGTCTGCGTGATGGCCTGAATCATGCGGGGGTCGGTGTTGGGACCGAAGCCTGTTGCGGCAGCCATCTCGGCTTGAGGGTTGAAACGGTGGTCAATCTCGGAGACGAACGACGACACCGAAGAGTGTCTGCTCATAGTAGACAACTTAGTCGGTGAGTGAACCTCGGCGGTACCGTACGCTGCACCAGCACGCGTGCCGCGAGCAGTAGGCGTGGGCTTTGTCAAGATCGACAGCGGGGACTGCGGTCTGGCGCCGTTGGGAGTCTGTGGTCGCTGGTTTCTCATGGCGGAGGCAGGCCACAAGGGAGGGCCCATAACCGCACTATGCGACGATCCAGTTCTCGCAGCTTCAATGGCTTCCTTATGGTTGGGCGGTAGAGGAGGCAGCGGTTGAGACGGCGCGAGGTTGCTGTTGGCACTTCCTGGCCTTCTGAATGCTGTATCCATCTTGTTCTCGGTGGAGAAGCTGCTGAGGCTGTCGTGAGAAGGACGGCGAATGCGAACGGTGCCGGGAGTGCTCGGGGTGCCGAAGCTTGACAACGACTTGTCAGACGTGGCCTTGGTCTTTGCGAGGAGCATCTCGTCAATCGCCTCAGCAGTCAGAGAAGTCTGGGCACCGGAGTCAGACATGGGAACGACAACCTTGGGTGCCGGGCGGACGTTGGCATTGGTTGAAATCTCCTTGAATGGCCGCTGAGACTCGGGAGTCTCGGACAGACGATCGTCGCTAGGCGATTGCCGAGTGTCGTCCTCCGCAATAATAAGGCTGTCGGAGGTCTTGTTCTTCCCCCGACCAAAGACGGAGCTCATCAGAGCATTCTTGGAGGGCGTCCGTGGCACATCCTTCTCGTCGAAAGGCGAATCCATGTCGCGGGGAAGAATAAAAGCATCCCGCTTCGGGCTTCTGGGCGAGATGGGCTGTGTCTCAATTGACTCAATCGTGGAGAAAGCAAAGTTGGGCTTGGGCGCCACACTTTCCATCGCAACAGCAGGCTCCACATGTTGAGACAGCACCGACGAGAAGTCCAGAACAGGCTGAGGAGCAGCACGAGGCTCGACGTGCTCAGATGAGATGTTGGAGTACGCGAGGAGTGCGGGCGGAGGAGCTGGAACCTCGGGCTCTGCCTTTGGCTCAATGTTCTCCGATGAGATGGACGAGAGTGTAAGGGCCGGGGGCAGTGGTGGCAACACCTCCGGCTCCGCACGAGGCTGAATGTCTGCGAACGAGATCAAAGACATGGTGAGAGCTGGCGCAGGCTCGGCCTTGGGCTCAATGTCCTCAGAAGAGATTGACGTGAGGCTGAGTACCGGGGCGGGCACAATCACCTCAGGCTCCGCCTTTGGCTCGATGTTTTCGGCTGCAATCAACGAGAACGACAGAGCCGGAGCCTCCGGAATGACCTTGGGCTCAGCCTTGGGCTCAACTTCCTCAGCCACAATGGACGACAGGCTGAGAGCGGGAGGCAAGACCTCGGGCCCTGCCTGGGGTTCCAGGTTGTGAGAGAACAGAGCTGAGAGGCTGAGGGTTGGCGCAGGTGGGACAAACTCAGGCTCGGCCTTAGGCTCGACGTGCTCTGTGGCGATAGCTGAAAGACTGAGCGCAGGCACAATCACAGGGACTTCAGGCTCTTCTCGCGGCTCCACGTGTTCGGACGCAATGGATGAGAGAGTGAGGGTCGGCGCTGGCGCTGACACTGGCACCAGGATAGGAGCAGGTATCGCCGCGAGAGCTCTAGACGTCTCAGGTTCTTCCTTGGGCTCGATGTTCTCGGACAGGAGGGCCGACAAGGTGAGACCTGGCACCGGGATCACGACCTCGGGCTCCGCGACGGGCTCAATGTTGTGGGCGTGCAGAACGGAAAGGCTGAGAGCCGGGGGAACAACCTCGGGTTCGGCGACCGGCTCCAAATTGTGGGCGTGCAGGGCCGACAGGCTAAGAGCAGGAGGTGGCGTCTCCGGCTCCGCAACAGGCTCAAGGTTATGAGCATGCAAGGCCGACAGAGAGAGCGTTGGCGGGGGATTCTCGGGCTCGGCCACGGGCTCAATGTTGTGGGCGTGCAGAGAGGAAAGGCTGAGAGCCGGGGGAACAACCTCGGGTTCGGCGACCGGCTCCAAATTGTGGGCATGAAGAGCCGACAGACTCAAGACCGGAGGCGGCATTTCGGGCTCGGCGACTGGCTCGACCGCCTCCGAGAGGTAAGTCGAGATACTCAGGGTCGGGGGTAGGATCGAGGGCTCAGCCTTCGGCTCGACAATCTCCGAGACAAGCGGAGTGAAAGCCAAGACAGGTGCCGGAACCTCGGACTCTGCCTTCGGCTCGACTACTTCTGACACAAGAGACGTCATGGTGAGAGGAGCCGGGGCAGGAGGTGGCGTCACGGGCTCGACTACTGGCTCGATATCCTGCACGTCGATTGAAGACAGACTGAGCTCGGGAGGCGGCGGCAGGACGAAGTGCTGCGGGCTGGATGGCGGCATGGGGAATTGTGCCAGCTTAGCATCCATATCCCGATCGTACTGAGCACCAGAATCACTGTAAGACAGTGTAGACAACGGCCTAGAGCGCACTCCGTCTGCGGCATCGTCTTGGGACAAATGACGGGCAGCCTGACTGGCGGCCATCATAGATCCCATCGATTCAACCTTTTCGTCGTGAACAATGCTGACAGGTGACAACGGAGGCGACTCAGTCATGGGCTCTGTCATCATACCAGAATCAACCATCATGGGTCTTGAAGCTGCGGCCGCTCTCTTAACTGGGTCCGTCATGCTGCCGTTGTTGGCCGAGTCCATAGACAGAGTGGGAACTGGCGGGGTGGATGTCGGGCCAATCTCTGAGGACTCGGCGGTGGCAGATCTTGTGCGGTTTGTTGTTTCCTCGATACTCTCAGCGTCGCTGTTCTCAAGCTCACCGAGCTCTGCGAACAAGCTCTGGCCACCCACCGCCTGTGGTGTTCCGGAAGCGCTACCTGTAGCAGCACTGGCAGGGCTGCTCTGGAAGTTTGGCTCCTCGCTGACCTGCCTAGACCGGCGGTTCATCAATCCTCGTCCAAGCCTGACACGCATGCGCTGATTATTGTGGTGCGAAGTTGGTGTCCTGTACTCAATGTACTCTTCATCCTCATCAGCCGAGGTTGATGCAGTGCTGTCGTATGAGTTTCGGCCTCCGCCCATTACAAGAGTCTGAGGGCGCAGCTCACGACCCTTGGATGGGCTTTCGGTCTCAGTCTCGGTGTCGTCGCCGCCAGAGAAGTCTTCCGCGCCGGTCTGGAAGTCCTCTGTCTCCGTGCCACGCTCGTTGGCAGTCTCGAAAGCAGCGTCGCTAGTCTCGTTGGCCGTCTCAAAGGCGTCACTGACGTCGGTGAATTGGGGTCTATAGCTGCTGCCGGGTCGGCTACTGGGTCTGCGGACGGTGGAGTTGGAGCGAATGGTTGGTGAAGTTCTCGGGCTGCCAATCTCAGTGGCCTCTTCCCATTCGTTGTCGTCCTGGTAGACTTCGTTTCTGCTGCTACGGTGACCACCGAGCAATCCGCGAGATGGCTTCTTGAACTCCCTCGACTCAACCTTGCGGGTGCGGCGAGCGGGAGCGGGAGCGGCATCAGTACGCAGCTTCTCCAACTCATCGCGAGTGTCTTGGAGGAGTCGCTTAAGCTCGAGCTTCTCGGTCTTCTCACGGTGAATGACGGTCTTCTGGCTCTGGATCGTTCGCTGGGCGTGTAACAGAGAGCTCTTGAGCGTCTCGGATTCCAGCATAGCGTGGCGGGGAGTACCCTTGATGGGTGAGGGCGGCGGTGAGTGTTCGGGAGTGAATCCGTCCGTCGCCGTCTCAAAGTCCTCATCGCTGACGCCCCGAACAAAGTCGCGGTCGGACATACGGCCTCGCTGGACCGAAATGGCCTTGGCAAGCTCCGTGTTCTGGCTCATCAAGTCGTCAACCTTTCGTCGCAAGGAGTTCCTCTCAGTTTCCGCCGTAGCCGCATTGCGCTTGGCAGTGGTCAAGTCCAGGTCGAGGTGTCTCACAGCTCGCTCATGTTCCTCAGCGAGCTTGGCAAGTGATACCTTAGCATCATCAAGCTCCTTCTGCGCCGAGTTCTTCTCCACCTGGAGGACATTGAGACTTTGTGTCAGCTTCTTTTCGCGGTCCGCGGCGTCCTTTTGTGAAGCGATCAAGTCATGGATCTGGGTCTCCAGATTCCAATTCTCGTCCTTGTACCGATTCTCGCTCTCGTCCAGAGTCTTAACACGTTGTTGAAAGTTCTCGTTCTCGATTTCAAGTTTAGACTTGTCGACCTTGATATCGCGAAGCTCTTCATCCTTTTCGGATAACAGGGATTGGAGGTTGCGAACCTGGGCAATCAGGGACGTGCTAATTTCGGCGGCAAACTCGATATCGTGGATGCGATTGGCGGGCTGGTTTCTAACTTTGCGATTTGGGACACTGAGCTTGCTAGGCGATCCGGTGGCCTGAATCTCAAGCTTCTCAAACTTGGATGGACTGACAGAGCGCTGCAACATGGTCAGCCGGAACAAGTTTGCGCCCATTGTGTTTGGCGCCGACTCACTCTTCCTATCCTTCCGTCAGGGACGTAAGGTGAACCTCCAGCGGCTTCGTTGCTGGGGACTCTCTGCTTGGGCAAGAAAGCCCTGGCAGTCTCTCGAGCAACATCGTTGTACTCCTTTTCGATATCGACGAGCTTGGCGCGCAACTCGGGTGCGAGTTCTCCTTCTGTTTCCTGCTCTTCCACTTCCTTCAATCGTTCTGCAAGTTCTTTGCGCTGGTGAACAAGTGCAGTTCCCAGCTTTCCAGCTTCGTCGAGGCGTCGTTCGGTATCTGCAATGTGAGCCTGCAATGCGCGCTTGGCCTGGCCTGGTGATGAGCTGAAGGATTGGCTGTCGTAGGTAGAGTAGCGATTGTGGGCAGGGCCCGGCGGGGATACGAAGGGATCGTTCGCATCCGCATCAGCGGGCGGCAGATGAGGTTTATCGACGGCGAGTGAGGTAGCCATGTTGATGGGAACAATGGGGGATGCCGCCGTCAGATGCGTCGTGGCGACATCCAGTGCACGTATCCGCGGACGTCGTCGTCGTCTTGTCGGCCTCGGTCGTTGGTGGTGTGGTTGTAAACAGACGGTTTTCGCAATTGTCGGCCGAGTCAGGCAAGCTTATGGGAATAGCCGGTACCGAACGGGGGGATGGGGCGAGGTAATGAGCTGCAACACAAGCGCGGGGTGTGCAGAGCCGGCTGCCGTGTGCAGAAGGGGAGATGTCGTCACCCACGTGGAAGAGAAAACGAAGAGGAAGAGGGAGGAAAAAACAAGGGAAGGTGAACAAGAGAAGGAGGCCGAGGAATTGAGCGCAAGTCGGGTTGGTCGCAAAAGGGAAATAGGTGGAAGAGAGTGGTGGTGACGGGGGTGCGTAATGTTTTTTGTTGACGTTGACGGGGGACTTTGTTGTTTGCGTTCCCCCTCCTGCAGCTGACCTACCTAGAGAGAAGACTGACTGCGGCACGATTGTTGTGTTGTTGACTGGAATGTGGTCCCCAGAGGTTCCTTACGCAGGCGGGTTGTGTGATGGTCCTATGGAGCGACGGTCCTGCAGAAAAAATGCGCTACGCGACCAGCAGAGGCAAGGCAGTGCCTGTCGGCTTTGTTGTTTGGTCTTGAGTACCTTGGCTGCACAAGGGATGCAGCTAAGGATGGGACGGGGTGGTGGGATGAGCTAGGCGCGCCCGTACCTTTTTCCTGTGTACTTTAGGTTGCTCTTATTGCTGCGCTAGAACTTCAGGTTGGCGCTGTATTCTTTTTGGGGTCTGTTTTCCCACTTCTCTTTCGTCCCTTTTTTGGTTCTCTTCCTCCCGATACACAGACGCTTTTACGTACCTTTGGAAGCTGCAGGATGTTGCGCTGGGCAGCAGAAAGAAACCAGACGACGGAAGGTCTAAAAAGAGGCGGTAGGTGCTCGGAGAACGAACGACCGGGTTTTGGTGTGTGAGTGAGACCGTGTGGTGTGTGAGAGCGGCCTATGTCCGGGGAAAGGGACAGTGAGAAACAAAACGGCGGCAAGAATAAGACAATGGTATTATTAGGGGAAGGTCTGCCGTTTCCCGTGAGTCGCGGCGGATAGAGGCGAACGATGCCAGGGGAGAAAAAGCAAATGAGCTGGCGTGTTCGAAGAGCGCGGAGGTCTCAGTTGAGGATAATCTGCAGTTGATTACGAGCCGGTAATACGAGGCGAGCGCGCGGCGGTGAAGAGTAAGGGGCCGTTGGGATTACCCCTCCGACTCTCTTAGGTAGCTAGTTCTACCCACGGTAAGGTAAGGTAGGTAAGGTAGCTCCAGGTGGCATTGGCTAGAGTCGCAAACCGATCGGTCGGAAAGAAGTTGACGGGTAGTGGAGCGCGGAGGAGGCGGCGGTGGTGGCGGCGGCGGCAGCGTCGGTAGACGGAGGGAGGCGAGAAGTGAAGGACAAAAAAACCAAGTAAGAACGAAATCGGCAATGGCCCGTGGTGAGGAAATAATGTCGAGTAGCTGCAGGTAGGATACCTGTTCGTTTTCGGGGCGGTTGTAGGGAAGGTGGGAGTAAGCCAGTAACAAAACTTTGAATGGAAAAAAAAGAGGCAATGTAAATTAAACGGAAAAAAGGCGAAGAAAAAGAGAAAATGGGAAAGCCCCGAACCAGCACGGAAAGCAGAAGAGAGCGACAGAGGGGTCCAAGTCACGATGATGAAGATGAGACAGAGACAATTACGTCCTCGTCTTCATACGACAACAATGTTCTTCTTTCCCGTGACGCTGCTTTTTGCTGGTCTTGTGTCTCTTCTCCTGGCGCGTCCTCCAAACTGAAGACTCGAGGTCGCTAAGGAACAGGGTCGGTTCTGGATTGGCGACGCGACCGGATGGAAGCACAAGAAGGAGGGATGAAAGTAACGGTCGGCGGATGTCGGCGTCGGCAAAGAGAAAGAGACAGACACACGACGGACGACGGACGACGAGGAGGGGAAAGGGAGGAGAAGGAGGGATGGAGGGTGAGACGTGGAAGGGGTTAGTAATTAATTTGGAAGAGGGTGAGGAAGGAGGAAAGTGGAAAGAGGGAGGATCCTCTTTTGCTTTGGAACCTCTGAGGTAGGTAAGGTAGGCTCAGGTATCCTCATAGAGAATGAGAATATTCGCATCAAGGGCATTACTGTGTAAGATACGGATATTCACTGCTACCTAGGTATGCGCTTCTCCTCCCTCACGCGCTACAGCATGCGTGCACAACTACAAGTAATTAAACCCATGAATTCTGGACCCTGATTGAGTGAGGTTTAGTGTAAACTAGAGTTGGTGCCCCCGTCTCCTGACTGGGAATAGCAACGGACGAGACCCATTTCTACGCAGTACAAAGTACCTCCTGTGTAGTGTAGGGCATCTATTGATTCCTGTTCCTGAGCTTGTGCCTGTCAACTGTCCCCTCATGCCTGTCCAGAACGCAGGGTGCTTGCCAGGCTTTGCTGTCTCTTGGTTCCACCGTGGAGCTGCAGAATGCCTGCATCTGTGACTGTGCAACTGCACAACTTCGGGTACCTGACAGTGTGCCTTGCGATTGCCCCATTCGTGCCATTTGCAGAGGCTTGGGACTGGGTGGGAAATGGTGTTGTTCTATCCGTAAGGTTCCTTACCATAAGGTACGGTACCTACCTTATACGGATACGGATGCGCTTATCGATAATGTGCTCTCAACCCCGGCTGTGGCGCGCAGGCTGGTGATGAACTGGCAGCAGGTTAACAACACATCATCGCACTAGCAAGACCTAACGTAGTTCCTCGAGCTGTCCTCAAGCCGCACCTTACTTTCCTCCACCGTATCCGGCTACCATATTATTCTCCATCCGTCCTATGCAGTCCATTTTGGGTTGTGCCAACTTCGCAGGCGGACGGCTGGTCTCCTGCCTGCCATGGTCATCATCATCGTCTAATTCAGCCCTCCTCATCTGAAAGCCTCCAATTTCGACATGCCTTAGCGAAGACCACTGAGATCCATTCATCAAGATGCAGCATAGCCACTAATGAGGGTGGCATTTCCAGGAACGAGAGAGTACCTTAGGGAGATCAGCTACCAGATTGCAGGCAATGCACAGCATGGGGGCTCTGCCTCAGAAACGAATGCAGGAGTTGAGCCTACTCATTCAGCTACCTGGGTTAGGTACCTACCTACTGCATGCAGAAGGCCAGCTGTCCAGTCCAGCGTCAACTTAGGGCTTCGCCATGCAGTTGTTTTGTTGTTTTACGATGGCCCTCATGCGAGACCCAGGAGGCGTCTCCATTCGTTCGTCCAATGTTGTTCCCTTCCCAGACACAGACGCTCTGTGTGGCCGCTGCCACGTCCGCATCCGTAGCCAATCCAGGTAGCCCATTCCAACAACACGGCGCACCTCAGTGAGAGCTTCAGGAACAGCATCCATCCATCCCCACCACTGCCCACTCAGGACATCGCTCCCCAGCAAGTACATCTGCGCATGCATGCAAGCAATCAGTCATGTCATATCGCAGAGCATGGCATGGCATGACATCGACAAGGCATCACCCATCCATCGTCACCCGTCTATGGGCTCTTCCCCGCCAATCCATACCGCTGTATCGCATCGCTTCAAAACAAAGACGCGCCCAGATTTTTCTTTGGGGTAAACTCGTTTTGGTCGCATAACTTTGGCCAATCTTAGCTCAGATCCACAACCAACCAGCTCTAACCTAGCTCGGAAGCCCATCCCTGCAACGTTCTCTCGTAGTATCCCTGTCTCTGACCAATTGTTCCCTGGTATTCCAGCCTCCCGACTTTCCTCACTAGTACCCAGGTAGCTGAACTCGGTGCCACCCCATAACGCTAAACCATACTCACTCACCACCTGATTGGTTTTGCGCCTCACTGCGGGCTCTCGTCTCAAGCCACGCAATTTGTCAGCCCTGTGGCTTGACTTGATCATTCTAGAAGGCATTGATGAATCCGAGTGGTGGCGATCGTTATCCAAGCTAAAGAAGTGACCAAGGGTAACCCCAAACTTCGATTCCAACTACCGCCGTTCCCTTGCCCTAGCTGCGGATCATCAAAGACTTTCTGGGGATTTTTCTACCAACGAAACCAGAATCTTTCACCCATCGTCAAACACAAACGTACGCCCAGATCCATCAGATATGGCCGACAGTGCCCCAGCAGCAGATGCCCCTGTTGCTATCTTCAAACGGCGCGGCGCAAAGGGCAAGGCCAACATCCGCAAGAGACCAGCAACACCCCCGCCAGCGAACAGCGACTCCGACTCCGACTACTCATCCTCTGAAGACGAAGCAGGCCAGCGGGTAAAGAGGCGAAAGAAGAACGCTGGTGCCATCACGGCTTCGTCCAAAGACCAAGCCAAGTCAAAACAAGACCTCTCCGCGACGGTCTTTACCGCCGATCGCAGCGTGCCCATATCAGATTCCAACGATGCCACGAAACAAAGCAACTGGTACGACGAGGACGGCAAAGATGCTCTTTCATCAAAGAATCTGCTAGGCAGCACGCGGGTCGTCGCAAAGAGGTCGCAGGCCCCCGACGGAACATACAAAGGCCTGGCGAACCAGACATCATTCATCACGAAGAACCCAGACGCGCCAAGTAAGACAGTCGGCCCCATCAAGGCGCCCACGAACATCAGGACGATTACGGTCACCGACTTCGCCCCCGACGTGTGCAAGGACTACAAACAGACAGGTTTCTGTGGCTTCGGTGACAACTGCAAATACCTCCACGCCAGAGAAGACTACAAGCAGGGATGGCAACTTGACAAGGAATGGGAGAACGTCACAAAGGGGAAGAAGAACATTGCGGGAACCGTCGTTGCCAGCGCGGACCGCACCAAGGCCGATGACGACGAAGACGAAGAGGAAGCCATGCTGGAGAACATACCGTTCGCCTGCATCATCTGCAAAGAGCCGTACAAGGCGCCGATCATCACGAGATGTGGTCATTACTTCTGCGAGCCCTGCGCGCTGAAGAGGTACAGGAAGGACCCGACGTGCGCCGCGTGCGGGTCGGGCACCAATGGCGTCTTCAATGGGGCGTCGCGGTTGAAGAAGCTGCTGGAACGGAAGAGAGAGCGCGCGGCGAAGAGGCGGCAGGAGGCGATAGAGGCAGGGGAGGAAGTTAGTAGTGAGGAGGAAGAATAGGGTTGTAGGACTAAGAGATATCACAGCCCTGTAGCGGCTGAATACTACACGTCTCTGGGCACGTCGTCCAAGAGACGCCTCGATGACACCCTGTTCTGATCCAAGTTGCCCAAACACAGCTTCTGAGGGCGGCCACGGCCCGGGAAAGCGAAGTGGCAGTAACCATGACAGATTTCCCCTTGTTTCTCTTCCACCGGCTTTATATGGCTAATTTCGAGATCAATAACTGAGAAACACAACTCCAAAGTAGCTAAAGGCAATACCTGTCAGTCAAAGAAGTATGAGTTTCAGGCTAGATTAGAGTCAGCCTGTGCTGCAGCAAAAGAGCTCTAACCAGCGCGATCCGTGCACTTTCTACCGGTTTCAACGGCGCAAGTGTAGATAATTAGCTACCGTCTGCCGTAGCGGATTACCTTGGTACTACCTAGGTAAGGTGGCTTCCAACGGCCGATAAGATAAGCAGATTCCCCCTCAGCGACCAGGCAGGCTTCAACCCCGCCACCATCTTCCCTGTCCAATCGTGAGACAACCCCGCCATCCATGTGATCGCCCTGAACAGCTGCCACGAGCTTGCCTCTCAGCCATCGACATCAGGCGGAACTTGACAAACTACATCATTCTGAGAGTCGGCGGAGGACTAGGCTATCTTTCTTACCCTTGCGAACAACATAGTTCTCATCACAATCAGAGACGCCGCTGAAGACGACCGCATCACCGCAAAGCAATAATACAGTTAGAGACCATACATAACCCCAATACACGACGATACCGACTCGGGATCCCGAAGCTTTTCCTTCCGGCACAGCCCGACTTCAACGATGAATCTCCTCTACTCGACCGTGAACACCCTCCGCGACCGATACACGCCGGTATCGCACAAGTCCACCTTCCGCCAGACGGGTCAAATCACACCCGAAGAGTTCGTCGCCGCGGGCGATTACCTCGTCTACAAGTTCCCCACCTGGTCCTGGGGCGACGCCGACGCCGACAGCCGCCGTGTCAGCTACCTGCCTCCCGGGAAGCAGTTCCTCGTCACGCGCAACGTCCCTTGCAACCGCCGGCTCGACGATGACTTCGCCGGCGATGCGGGCCACGAGGAGGCCGTTGTGGAGGGTGGCAAGAGCTCCGGGGCCGGCGACGACGATGAGGACGGGTGGCTTCGCACGGGCGGTCTGGCTAGCTCGCAGCCACTCAAGGTAAAGGAAGTGCGGACGGTGGACGACTCGGGAAATGTGGGAGATGGGGAGGTTGTGGAGGATGACGATGAGATTCCGGATATGGAGGATGAAGACGACGATGAGGCCATCATCCGCGATGCGGGAGACAACGGAAAGAACAGGTTTGGATCACGTTGAGTGTATGGAGTGAGAAGACGTGGCTAACCTCTCGCGTCCACAGCGGTCGGCGGACATACACCCTCTACATTATGTACTCAACCTATTACCGCACACCCCGCCTCTACCTCTCGGGGTACTCCCCAAACGGTCAGCCGCTGCCGCCACACGCGATGATGGACGACATTGTGGGCGACTACAAGGACAAGACGGTGACGCTCGAGGACTTTCCATTCTTCGCCAACAACATCAAGATGGCGAGCGTGCACCCATGCAAGCACGCGTCCGTGATGAAGACGATGCTCGACCGCGCCGACGGGGCGCTGCGTATCCGGCGCGAGAAGCTACGCGCGGGCAAGGCCGTCGGCGGGGACCAGGGGATGGAGGGGCTCGTTGACGAGTTGGGGAAGCTGGATGTCAAGGATGCTCAGGCCGCTGCTGATAAGGACGGCGAGTGGGAGGAAGTAGAGCAGAGCGAGGTTGACGAGCAGGAGGTTGCGATTCGGGTGGATCAGTATTTGGTTGTTTTCCTCAAGGTATTGTTGCCCTGTTTCTGGGAGGTTTTGTGAGAATGTGGTGATGATGCTAACTTTGTTGTAGTTCATGGCCAGCGTCACACCTGGTATCGAACACGATTTCACAATGGGAGTATAAGCGGCGGCTCCCCCGCTTGACTCTTTTCTTCCTCCTCTTTCTTTTATGGGAATGTCTTTGGGCAACGGGTTGTGTTGGGGCAGGGTTTTCTTATGTCATTGGATTACGGAATTAGATTATGGACTTTTGCAAACGGCGACTTATGAGAATTCAGTAGACTACAAAATCGAGACGGTATGAAACAATATTCCAATTTTGAGAGGGTGGAGCGATTTCCACTTGTTGAGACTTGTCTGCCTGAATGCATCGAGACTGTGACGGGATTTTATGGTTGTCTCGACCTGCGCGTGGCCAAGAGGCATGCTTGTGGTTCACCGCAGGGGTGTGACGATTGATTCTCGACAGGAGATGCAAATTTGGAGTAAAGATCGTGATGGTGCTTTGCCAAGTCTACTGGACTGAAAGTGTAGGTGCAAAATCTCTTTCTCTCTCTCTCTCTCTCTCTCTCTCTCTCTCTCTCTCTCTCATTCATTCCTCCATCTTTCCTTGGGAGGGAAGAGGAATGTCAGGTGTGGTATTGGCGCTTTGCAGAGGTAATGAATGGAGTTTTGTAGTTCCTATTTTGGGGCTCCCTGGCCCGTCATTTGAGTCTTGCCAAGTGTAGACGCCTCCTGCCGTTAGGAATCGGTTTCTTTGGCTGCTAGAGATTTCGAAGTAGTTATAATCGCTGTGTCGAAGCGATTCCGGTCTACGCTCAAGCTCACATGAGACAGAGACCTCCCATCGGAGAGCTTCACCTGTCTTCCTTTTGACAATATCAGCTGTGTCCTCGTTACATAACCCAGGTACGGAAGGAGAGTTGAATCGCCAGAGTGATCACGGCGCCGCTTCGGCGGGTAACTACATCCTGCACCACACCTCCCCTCTTTCTTCTCAACTCATGATGCTCTAGAATGCCTTCACTTTGCTGGAAGTGCCTTCTCCTCGCCCACGAAGTCGCATGGACCAGGAGTATTGTTTAATGTCGATTAATTTGCCAGGCGTTTGAAGAATGGGGAATGAATACCAAGAGAAGAGAGAGAGAGAAGACATACTAAATCGCGAAGGGCGCAAGTTATACATGCCGTTATCTCGACAGTTCCTCACTTGACCAGTAGACAAACTACAAAGACTCCTGACCGAAGGCCCAGCTTCTCTTTTCCGGGTTGCTAGCCGGCTGTTTGGCTGTCTCACTTGGAAGGAGATGGCCACTCCAAGCGCTCGGCCAAAATGACAGAGAGAAGAACGGGCTTTCCGTGTTCTGGCATAATCTTGCCCCCTTTGCGGTGCTTAGTCTGGGGCTTTGCGGGGGCATGTAAAGAAAGGGAGGGCCATGTAGAGAAAATGAGGGGCAAGTAGACGAAGGATAGGGGTTTAAATCGTACTTTGACCATTCGAGTTGGTGAGAGAACAAATTGGATCGCTTCTCACGATGACTCCGGCGGCGAATTATACCTCACGAGACGCTTCTTGCTTATGCAAGGGCTTACGCTTCCATCGTTCGTTCTGATCCTCCGTGTGTCATATTTCCGAGTCAAGGCTCCTTCCTTCCTATCTACCTTCCATTCGTACGTCCTCGAGTGTATTCAAGGGGTATTAAACCCCCAAATATGAGTCATGGAGCTGTCAGATATTTCTTTACCTTATGAAGCCAATCTGTATAATGTGGATCAACCTCCTTGAGCACCTGCGACTACACCACTCGACAAGCCGAACAGGAATTGTATGTCTTCGCTTCCAAAATCGACATCACGACAACCATGGAAAATCGATCCCGACTCCATTTTCTGTCACAAGAACTCACCGACCGGGGCTGAACATCGCTGACTAAGTACGTTGCCAAAATGGTCGACTTGGCCCGTAAGAGAATGTCGCTTCCCGATCCGAATCAAGTCATACCTAACATAGTCAACGAAGGGATCCTGCCAACCTGACAGGAGAATCTACAGTTCCTTATCCTCCAGGAATGGATCAATGCCAGATGTTGGGAAAGAACCCTGAAGTAAATACTCGTTGATGACAATGCAGCTCGGCAACGGCAAAGCCGCGCGGGTCCGAATTCTTTGCAGCAACATCAAGTCTCGGACGGCAAGCGACTTTGGAGGCAAGGAGAGCATGTACGACCATTCGCGTCGTTGCCGTATCGAGAACTCGGAGCGACTTGAACGGCGCAGTAATCGTCTCTCTCTCTCTCTCGCCACACACCCAAGCCGGCCCCGCCGCGGAAGTCAAATGCTTCATTTGTGAGCATTTGCAAACCCCCCCGGCCACACTGAACGGCTACGAACAGAAGACACCCGTGGAACTATCAAAACCGGCGAGGGCTATCAAAAGATGGAGATGTGTGTGCTTTGGTTTTTTAAGTCAACCAGAGGGCTGCTTCTCCGTTCCCTTTGGCCATGATGTGGGAGAAAGCAGGCGTCATATCATCTTTGCTGATCCGAGGCTGCCTAGAAGTTGAGGGACAGGTAAGACCGTGTATTTGACTACTGTTTTGCGTGGGACAGTTACTCGAATCAAATCGTGAGTCGGTCTGACGACTCAACTCATTCAAAGGTTAAGGCTTTGTTATCGACGTAGTTGAAGATGTCACTTCGCTCTCCTGGTCACAAGTGTTGCGTATAGGATAGCCGGAAGTGGAGGCTTCTTGCCCGCGTGGAATTTTACAACCCACTAGTAGGTTCGAGAAATCGGCACTACGAATAACTATATATAGCAATGACTACCTAGATTCACTCATGGTAGAAACTTTTTGCCTATCCTCTAGACCTATAGTATGAAGTTTGAAATATTCTAGCTTCGGCGACATCTTTCTTGTATGAGGGAAGGTAGATACTGTAGTTCGGGGACGGGAGATGTAGCTACTGTGAGAAAAAGCATTGAATATTTGTCCTGGTCCGAAGTCAAGACATCATGGTCTCTTGTTCTCGGCTGAGACGGCTTATCATTGGAACCTGGGACCAACCAGTACACAATGCTCTTGTATCTGGCCTGCTACTGTATCGAGAGCAAGATGGACCGGGTCTTGTCTTTTTGCCGTATGGAAGTTGGCTAGCACTCTTGAAGGGGGACGAGGTACCGACGCTGCCTTTCAGCAATTTCTATCCTACGGATATTGTTTAAAACCATGTCATTTTGCAAGCCCTGTGACATTCACTGATGGCCTCGATTACGTTGGCTCACTGTCCGCCATTCCATAACTTTACAAGAGAAACAATGTGATAAGTCGGAGATTTTGTCTAATCGAAAACCTGCATTTGCATCCTTGACTCGAAATGAAATCTATTCAAAAACAAACGACAAAGACATAGACGTGCCGCCGGATGTTCTCTATACGAGGCTCCTTTATATATACACAAATTCACCGTAAGGTGTATACATCTCAACAAATTATGGTATTTTTTTGCCACACATATCATGTTGTCCCCAAGAATTTTCGAGTTTTCCCAGTATCATAGCTCACATCTCAGTTTCTGTATGTCTGCTAATTTCCAGGTGAGGACCGCACGCCAAGCATTGGAAGGGTTGGGAAGCAACCGTGATAAGACGGAGATGACCAACCGTAGGAGGTCTCGGTTAGCAAAGGAGAAAAACCGAAGGACTAAAGACGCTCTAGATAGTGATTTTTTCATGTATACACCTACTGAGAGGTGAAAGGGTTCCCCGGAAACTCCTCGTTGCATTTGTCTTCGAGCCTGGTTCAGTGGGAGACGCAGACAGTCACTCATTTATTGCTAATTATCAGGTTATTTGGCGTATTTGACCCTGTTGACAGAAGGATATTTTACAAGGTTGTATTCCAACGACATTGCGTTTTTGGATCAGCTCAATAGCTACCTCCGACTTGACGAAGTTTCTGATGAACAACGCGCCCATTCATTTCCTGCGAAGAAGGCCTTCCCTCACACACTTCCTTTTCATAGACCTCAGCCAGCCCAGGCTCATGGCGGCTCTTCACAAGTCAGACTGGGACTTCTTTACAGAAGGCAGGCCGCTCCTGCCAGAGAAACAGGAAACTGCCTGCCCCGAATGAATATCGAAAACTGGCATGGGCTGCTCTTGCAATTCTGACAACAACACCCTGATCGATGGGAAAGAACACGCGGCGGGGCATTTCTCGTGTTTCCAGTGGCGCCTGCAGACGGGAGGCTCCATATCCTCTCGTGCCTCTTGACTTGACATGCTTGAACTTGGGTGCCTTTTGTGCCACCGACGATTTCCCCATCACATTACAGCGTACCTTAATGTGATCTGTATGTTACTAGCCTTCACCTGACCCTCAACAACATCAGTCATGGCCTCTCGGCTTCTACATGCCGAATAGCAACCCCATCAAAAGACCTGCATGGACTTGGATCTGAAGAAGATCTATGGCCTTTCAAGTAAGGATGGATGACAATACAGCGTTGATAAAGCACGACAACAACCAACAACCCCCACGAGTCGAACGTCGAGCCCGATGTACCTTAGTCTCTCCCAAGGCACCACGGCAAAGGCATGTGGCTTGCATCTGATACGGCATATGCAACCCCTGCCCAGCAAAAATCGGCCACCGGTACCGCACTGCGGCATCGCAGCCATCGCGGAACACCGCACTTCGTACTTGCGGGGAAAGAAAACCGGTCAAGCTCTGGCCAAGGACGGCGCACCCGCGCCGTTGGTCTGTAGGCAGCCGGACGCCCCTCCAGGTCACTGTTTGCCTTGTAGGACGGCACGACTTGCCTTTCCGGATACCTTACCGAAGCCACGGCCAGGACAGCAGGTGGTGCTTCAGGTTCCTCCTGCTGACTGCGGCAGGCAGGCGGTGTAATGCTCCTTCTGTCTCATCATGTGTCAGCTCCTGCAACTCCGTTGTACTCCCACGAACCCCCCATCCGCTGCCTTAAGGTACGTTATGCCGTCTTCAACACACAGCATCCTAACAGAATGGCGGCCTGCATCCAGCTTGTCCCACGCTGCAACCCAGGGTACGTTACCTTCTGTTATCTCACCTATGCAAGAAACCCCCATCCAGAAACCTA